CTAATTACTAAATAAAAATGTGTTCTGCACTATCTTTAAAATATTAATTTCTTAATTTTGGATTGGAAAAGTGGGGGTCGTCTTGTACATGGGGGTGTCTTATTGACGGAAAAATACGGTAGTTTTCCATTGTTTTTTTCTGGATATTTTTTCATCTTCCCAATTTAGCCTAAAGCCCTGGAATTCTCTGGTGTTTTCCACCCAAATCCTAATCCAGCCTGAACCTGCTTAACTTCCAAGGTCAGCCAGGTTCTGCCATGATTTCATAGATGTAGTCATCTGAAGAAGAGTACTTTGAAACTGTTAGACTGATTATTAATACATCCATTTATGGTATTACAAGTTTTTGTAACAATATAATTGCTGAAATTTCATATTTTCCATGCAAGGTATGTTTTTTGATTCTCTAGTTAAGTCTAAAGCTTTGGTATTCCCTGGTGGTCTCCCATATAAGTACTAACAAGGCCCAAACCCCTTTAGCTTTCAAACCCAGACAGATTCATCCTGGTAGTATATAGGTATAACATTCTGCAGTGACTTCTGTTACGTTTCACTGTTTTGGCTTGTTTTTTACATATATGAGTAAATGTTTCTCATGTCGTAGCTCTATATTATAGAATCTGTGGAGAAAAATGAAAGAGTAAATATACTTTATTTTAGAGACAGAGAATGATTTATCTGAAGGAATTTCTCCACCCCTCCCCAATAGATTATGATTATATTTACTTAAAATAAAAACATCTTTCTTTGTTTTTAGCATCAGATTAAAGCTTGCCTTTCTTTTATCTTTGATATCTTCAGATACCTAACTGGACACAATTCAGTTCATTAATGTCATTACAATAGTAACTTGTGCTAGCTGTGTCTAATGCAGATAAGATCTGTCCTTTTGTGCATTAAGATTCTTTTTTGAGTTCAAAAGACAGTCACTCTTATATTTACAACAGTTTTATATTGTTGACTATTGCTGTCATGTCAGTATGTGAAAAGTTGAAGGGCACAAATTCAGAAACAAAGGGTTTCCAAAGGCTTGTTCCTAAATTCAGGACTTAATGTTCATATGTATATATTATGCCAAAATGAAGCTTCTAGGTTGAAAATGCATGTTAATGTGTCAATTCACAGCAGGAAGGAGCACTTTAGAAAATGACATTTTGCAACATATTAATAATTTGTCATAATGAAATACAGGTAGTCCTTGGGTTACAACAGCAAGTAAGAAGAAAGATTATCAAGAAATTGTTGATGTGCAAGAGAATGAAAACAGGCATTTGATGCCTTATTGGTGCTTTTTCAAAAGGAAAATACTGTATAGTATACACTTGATGTAAGCTCACTGGGTGGCTTTATTCACACTCTCAGCCCAACCCTGTTTCACAGGGATGTTGGGAAAAGTACAGAGTGGCTATAGAAAATTAATCCTTTAAATGCCTAGCAAAGGTACTTTGCATGTTAAAAAGAAGTGTAATATAACTTAAATTAGAAACCTCATTCCATATGGACAAGTTTAAAGAAAGTTTAAATCCATATGCTTCCTTATCTGTTAATAAGATCTCAGTTTTTATACCTCTTTCTGGATTGTTACAAGTCAATACAAAGTATGGAACTAATTATATGTAGACTCAACTGTTAATGCTTATTTGCAAATGGGATGTTTCTCTGTGAGTTTGTAAATAAAGGTAATAAGGGTAGGTGCTTGTAAATTCAACCATTTTACCATTTAATTGTGGTTTGCATCTGTTTAGTTAATTTATGTGTACATATACATGCATGCAAACTTGATATGCACACTGTATATTAAGTACACGCTGCCTGCAATTGTAGCAGGAGAGGATTTTGTATCTATTACAGACCCAACTTAAGAACATCCCTGTAAAATCCTCAACAGAAAATTTTTTGGAAAGGAATACTTCTTCATTAGTATTTAGTTTATTTTTGCTGTAACAATTTTTGTTGCATCAGGAGACAACAGAATTTTTATCTAGGGTTGTAGTTATATGCTTATTCTTGTAATACATTTCCAAAAAAATCACATATACATTTTTTTCCCATCAGGGTTATACATCATTTTGGAATGATTGCATTTCGTCTGGGCTCCGTGGTTGCATGTTAATTGAATTAGCACTGAGGGGGCGTCTTCAGCTGGAAGCATTTGGAATGAGACGTAAAAGTTTGCTAACTAGAAAGGTAAGAGGAGCAAAGTAAACCTGTGTACTTTACTTAAACCTCTTTCCCTGACATTTTTACATATGGTGATATTTATAAACCTACATATTTATATCAGCATTTCTAAAGACTGCAAGAAGGTTAGTGGTTAATCAATAAGTTCAGTTCTTTAAGTTGCATAGCTTAAATATTTGGGCAATTTTGTAAAAGTATTTAGCATATGAAATTTGTTAAATCCAAGGCCTAGTTAGGGAATGAATCACTCAATGTTACTCTTTCAGTTTGATTTTACTGGCATTATGTGAAAGCAGTTCTCCCCCTTCTCCCTGGAGAAATCTTGTGAATAACACTGCTTCATTCTCTACCACAAATCTGGTTGCATGGGCAAACTGTTCTGTCAATATAACATTTTACTTACCTATTTGAAAAGCAGGTTTGAAAAGTTTCTATGCTGCCCTGCTGTTCAGAATTAAGCTTTTGTACAGCAAGGACATATTGCTCATGTACAGCTGTGCTTAGTTATGATTAACTTTAACTGGATTTCCTTTCTCCCTTGTAGAACACACAGAATTCTTAGGTTTGCCAAAAATGTAGGAATGTTCCTTGAAATTCAACAGCTATACAGTAATAACTTGCATGGCCTTTTCTATATTTTTTCATTTTGATACATCTAAGGAAGGTTTGATGTTTAGAAAATATGAGCAAGTAACTTGCTTCAGGGATAGCAGGGACAGGAACCTGTGGCCCCCAATGCTTTTAAATTACAACTCGGTAGATGCCTAATTACTGCCTATGCTAGTTGGGTCTGTTGACAATTGTAGTTTAGCAATACCTGGAGGGCCACAAGTTCCCCACCCTTCCTTTATAATTCAAAACTATTTTCAAATGAGATACAGACACAGTAGAATCTGCTCATGGTGGGAAAACAGGATTCCTCATTTCTAGGCCAATGAGACATTGAATCCAGCATATGTACACTCAAAATCCAGAATGCTTAAAATTTTCACAATGAAATGGTTTAACCTATACTCAGTGTATTTCACAGTCCTTTGTAAACATTACATTTACTTGGTGGATGGTAGAAAAATGGGCATCCCTTGGGGAAATGCAGTCCCCCTCTCTCCTGGTAGAATTTGACCTGGGTCGTCTCTTAGATACTCCATTCTTCTAGTACTGTTTATGATAAGGTTATTTCCTACAGTTCTGGTAACCAGGTCATGATGTAAAAATACAAAGGTGTTATTCTCACTTTAAGAAATATCACATAACCTAGAACAGACATGTAGACTATTAGAATCTATTCTTTTTCCTTTTTTTCTTATTTTAGTAGAATTTGGGGTTCTTCTAAAACAATCGAACCCAGAGTGGTAGCTTGGATGGCATGGCCTAACAGGTCAGCCCACATGGCATTCAGAAAAAGCCTGTTCAGTAAGCTGTACAACTGTTCCATGTGCTTAAAAATATAACCAGTTAGTGTAATCCACCCAAGCACTAGAAGGACAGTAGTTAATTTAAATTCAGTCCAGCACTATAGTACTTGCACATAGAGCTTTCAGTCCTACTCTTTGTCCATTGGCATGGATACATCGGTGTAAAAAATGAAAAAAAAAATTTTTTAATTGAGAGGAGCATTCCAGGTCCTGGATAGTAATTTGTTATGCTAAATTTATGGAACAGTCTGAATCTTGAAATTTAATCTCCTTAACCTTTAAGGAAATTATTTAAAAGATTATAAAATGAATGTTGAAGACAATAACTAGTAATAAAGCGAGTTAAGCTAAGAAGGTGCTTACTAAGAGCACTACGCATTAGGTCTTTGACAATTTCAGTTGTCATATCTGATTAAATGCCATACTTTATAAACTAAAAGATTGCTTCTAGTCACACAAGTCATTGGACTCATTGAAAATATCCTGATGAAAGAAGAAGGCAACTTTCATACATTCCTTCGTGGCAGACTCTTGTGCTTTCTGAAATATTAGGCCTTCACGGTTCTTAAATATTTGTTGGCCTCAGCCCAGTGTTTGTTATATGAACTTCTAATTGCAATTAGAGATAATTTAAAATTAACTATTTCCTGAAAGTTGCAAAGCAGCTCTTAATATTATATTAAACTAGGATTGGGCAATTAGCCAGAGGGTTGCGGGGACCAGAGACTTCACTTTTTCAAAAACAATTCCTTGGCTGAAGAGGGCTGGGCAAGGATGTAGTCTTGGATTTTTTTTTTAATTTTTAATTTTTTTACTTTTTTCACCTTGGGGAGCTTTTAAAAAACTTTTCTAGATATATTAATTGTATCTAAGACATAACTCACAATTCTTGTTTTTCCAGTATATCTTTGTGTGGTACCAAAAATCAGAGGGAAATCATGCCATTGGTGACATTGGGGAAGTCTGAGACAGCTTGTGAACTGCCAGTTGCCTACCCTTAAAAACAGTTTGTTTTAACCATGATTTCAATTAACCATTGTCCTAGGGATCAAGTTTACAAATAACAAACTATAAAGGGGAGATTTACACATCATATCAAACAATGAAGAGCCATATTATTATAGTGGCTTTCCATTATGTGTGTACTACTGTAGTGCTTAAAATGTTCAAATTCAATTACTATCCCCATTCGTCCTTTCATTTTAACTCCCAGTGCTGTTTGAAGTGCCTGCAGTGTCACCTGTTTCCGGGCCCTTTCCAAGACACATGATCTCTCTACTACTGCTCTGAAATGCAGTGAGCTAATTATACAACGTCCGATAGTTCTAAGCTCCATCTTAAACAGTCATTTCACTGTTGTCCATAACAACCTGTTGTTCTGGGATTCTCAGTGGACCTGCCTCATACTTGATTATCCATTTACCTCTATAGTTATTCATCTGTTTTTGTGACTATTTCATTTAGACTTGTACTTTGTTGTGAATGTTCCTCTTCTGGTTTTAGTCTACGTCCTTTATATTGAATCTTAGATATATATTTCTACCTCTTTTCTAAACTGTAAGCATCTACAATATTCTATTCATATTTAGGTTTGGGATTGTTCATTTAGTATGGCATGAATTGGCTCTGGACAGCCCAGGAGAAAAAATGACTACACAGTGAACAGTAATTGTTTTAATTATAAATTGTTGAGAGACCTCAATAGCCAGCAATATTTTAATTAAACTAAATAAGTGATGCATTTTCATGGAGCTGTATTCTCTTCAGGTGTGTGAAATACTTCAACCTTGAAGCAGCTGTCCCAGATGTTCCATGTATAAAACAAAATATTCTGTTTTGTCCTAACCTCAGAGCAAAGCTTGATCATTTCAAATGCTTCATTTTGAGGTCAGGTAGTCCCCAGTTTAAGAATAAGTTCCATTCCCAAGTCTGTCCTTAAGTCGAATTTATATGTAAGCCAGAACAGTATTATTGTATATAATACTGTATAAGTAGTATTGTGTAATGAACTTGAACCATCGTGTATTTAACTTGAATCATTGTGTATTTAATTCAAATTTTGCTGCAGTAGACTCTGTTCTTAACTATGGGTCATCTGTAACCTGGACCTTCTTAAGTCCCTTCTTAACCGAGGGACTACCTGTATTGCAATTGGACTTTTGTGTTGAAGCTTAGAATTTTTAAAGAAAATTCTTGCCTAATAATATAGCAGCAGGAGGTGCTTTACTAATCAAATTTCAGTACCTGCTCTAATCCTGACCTAGGAGGTATATTTAATGTATTCTAAAATAATTTAAAAATAATCCCCTCACCTAATTTTGTGCAAGTTTAATGCCTGCTGGATGTCAATATAGATTGTGATCTCACCTGCCTTTGTGGCTCTGGGATAAAGAACAGAGTTCTTGTTTTGAATTCTCATTATTTCCTATAGCTGGAATACCTAAAATGCTTTGAGTTTTATTTAGTTGGGATGCAGCCACAGGAATCTTCAGGTATTATTGCTTTGTTTTGTGTTTCAAGCAAAATGTTTGTTTTGTGCATATTTTCTCATATATTCACTTATTCCTTTCATATGCTCAGTTTAACATTCCCCCAACTGCTCCAGCTGATGTGGCAGTTTGCTTTTTAAAACTCTCTGCTTGTATCTATGGAAACTCTCCCCCCATTCTATCTGTGATGAGGGTACACTTCCTTGGGCTGAGGGGGAAGATTAGTTCTTCCTTTCCCAGTAATGCCATTCTGAAAAATACTCTATCTACATCACTCTGAGATATTTAGAAGCTTAGCTAGAACCAGTGGAGGACTTTTAAGTGTGATTATAGAATAGCACATCAGCAACTAATCAGAAATTAGATGTTTTTCTTTATTTAGGAAGAAAGATTGGCCCCATCAAAAATGTTCATAAGGTGTATGGGGAACATTTGGATCCTATTCACCCTGTTGGAACTGTAAATTCTCCATACCTGGTGTAATAGTATGTGACAATGACCTTGGGAGACAGGAGGAAGAGCCGCAAAATAGACAACTGTCATGCAAAAGGTATCTTAGTCCATGGAAGCAGAGACCAGTTTTCTGGAAAGTAAAAGTGAAGTAGGGGAGAAAGGCTTTCAGACTTGTAAGATTCTGTTGCTGTAACCGTATAATACTCATGGTTTGTGCTTCTTGTCTGGACTACCTCAAAGGGCTGACACCTGGTCTAACATTAAAAGGAGGGTGGGTTTGGCATTGAACGGAGTGAGGGAGGCCATTATCCATACTTTTCATTCTCTTTCCATAGCCAAATAATTGCCAATTACTTATACATTCCTTTAAGAACCATATAGCTGCTGCTTTTTTTTTTTTTGCACTTACTACTAATGGTTTCCTGTGTCTTTTTAATCTGTGGTGACTTGATATCAGTGGCTATGATTGCATGCTTCCAATCTTCTTTCTTTATCTGATCAATAGAGGATGTATCTGAAAGAATCCCATTGATTTTAATTATCCTAGCCATTTTTTAAAGTGTTTTTTATCCCAGCTTTATTATTTTTATAAATAACTCAAGGCAGTGAACATACCTAATACTCCTTCCTCCTCCTATTTTCCCCACAACAACTACCTTGTGAGGTGAATGGCCCAAAGTCACCCAGCTGGCTTTCATGCCTAAGGTGGAACTAGAACTCACAGTCTCCTGGTTTCTAGCCTGGTGCCTTAACCACTAGGGCAAACTGGCTCTTTCAATGTCTCTGCACTGGCACAGATTTCTGTCTCTCAGTTACTGCTAATACTACATGATAGTAATCTCGAGTAATTATTCTCCATTTAAGTGCTTCATGTGGTCTACAGAATGAATTGTGTCATGAATTCCATAGCTCACAAAAAGTATTGGGTTTGGTTGTGAAAGGTGAAAAGACATTTGTCACAGTCTGCTGTCTTTGAATCTTTAGATGTAAAAAGTTGTATGGTGTTTAGCCATGTTCTTTATACTTGATGTTAAGTTAAGGTAAAGTTTGAGATGCCCATTTGATCTGTTGTATTTCCAATCAGGTGATCTGCAAATCAGATGCTCCTACAGGAGATGTTCTACTTGATGAAGCTTTGAAGCACATTAAAGAAACTCAGCCTCCAGAAACAGTGCAGAACTGGATAGAACTACTTAGTGGTAAGAAGCTACTGTGAAAAATTAACCTATTTGAATGCTTTCAAATTTCTTTGGGCTTCCATTAATTACTGGTGTTTATGGAATGGGTTTTCAAATTGTGATCTTGGCATATTCCTACTCTGTGATGTCATCTGGCCATATTATGCTGACCAGCTTTCAGTGTTAAGGCATTGGTGCTTAGTCACCTACATTTGGGGTAGTAGTAATCATTTAAAACTCCCCAGAACATGATAATCCAGTAAGAAATATGCAGTGCTATCTGTGGGACGGGGAGTTCTATCATGCATGTAGTGCTGTGTCCCTAATATTGTTTAGTTGCAGTTTAGAGTGGTTTTGCTCACTTGACCCAGTTAATCGTTTCTTCTTTTTGGCTTTCAAACTGTTTGTATCTGGAGATGCTCTTATTATCTGTCCTTTCTTGTTTTTCACAATTCTGTTTGTGTGCTTTGAGATGTTACCATTTTTTCATGCCTAAAAAACTAGCTACTGGGATGATTATCTTTGAATCTGATATTTTCTAGTTTATGGGAACAGAGACAGGACTCAGAAAGGAATGATAAGACTTCAGTTCAGATTTAGGGATGTCATCATGGAATTTAATACAATTGCTCATACAGCTCACATACAATATTCATTATTATCCTAATTTCCCCAAAAGCAAGGTGAGGACAAGCAATTAATAGCTAATTTGAAGAAAGTTCCCATTATTTCTATAAATCATTTTCATGGAGTAAAAGAGGCAGTTCCTACCCTTTAATGGTCCAGGGGAAAAAAAAAAACTTATTACAAAAATTGGGGCTCCCTGCTACTGTCTTTACCCTCAGCAAGAGAAACTAAAAATGTTTTAACTTTGCCTAACCTGGTTCATGGACAACATAATAACAAAATTTAAATATTCAAAAAGATAACTTTAGTACTAGGGAAAAGTATCTTCCATTTATATTGGTGTATGCTTGATTAATTACTAGTAAGTGAGAGAAACTAGGTTAGAAATCCAGATTAGAAATCTACCAATCCTTATGCAGGCCAGATTTCTCTTTCTTCTACATTTCATCCAAAGACAACCTTCTCTTTTAATTTAATACCTATTCAGACAGTTGCATTCACACAGGATTCCTGGTAGTGTGTGTTTCTTTCTCACAGGATCAATAGCACAGGTTTACAGAGATTTCCTCTTTGCCTCATGGCTGTTTTTTCAGAAGATCTGGCCTAGCTCATTGTGGGTGAGATTTTGCCTATCCCCAAAACCCGTTGCTTTGCACTGCCCTGAGACGGCGTTCAGTTCCTTTTCCCTCAGGATATGCTCTTATTGCCTTTGTACTTCTTTTTTTTCCCCCCAAGGTTTCGGCCAGTCTGGCCTTCATGGCCTTTCACTTCTCTCAGCTGCTGTCCCTTTTCTAATCACTTTTCCCTCAATATCAGTCCTCATCTGATTTATGGTGCAGCTTCAGGATCCAGCAGTTTCATTGACTCTTAAGCCCACTAACAGACCAGTGCCTGCATGTTATTAGATATCTTTGCCTGTTGTTTGAAAACTTCAGGTTTTCAGTCCTCAAAATTTGTATAAAAAGACGAGTGCAGAACCCTTTAGCTAGTTCATTTTGCTCTCATCACATTGTCTCTTATGAAGATTGACATTAGAACCCATGAAGCTGTCTCTCACCAAACTTGGAAGAAAAAAATCCTACTATAATCCTGCCATCACCACAGATAGCTTAGGTAGTCTTCCATAAACTTGTGTCATTCCATCAATCTTTACCAGAGTTTCAGATGGGAAATCTAGCCTAAGGCCACCATTTTTGTCCATCACCAAGCCAAATTTTGAAACATTTATGTGTTATCCCTGAGAGCCCTAGAGGTTTTTTTTTAGCAGTTAGTGAACTTTTCATACCATATTCCGGTCATCCATTTGGAAGGTGCTAAGAGCCACTGGGATGAAAGTTGAGAAAATGAACTGGCTTTGTTGAGGAACAACTATGTGAGATATTTCTGATGGTACTATGTCTTAGAAGAGTACGAGTTATTCTGGACTTAGAAAGTTGCATCTGTATAAAAAAGATCAGTTAGCCTTCTTAACTGACAATAAGGTTAAATATGTTGGGATCTTCTTATCAGAGCAAAAGAAAGGATTTCCATTACTGTACTGAATTACAATTTTTAAGTAGATTTCTTTGCCTCTTTAGTTAATAAACTAAAACTTTATTATCCTTGGTGCTATCATGTTTTTTCCTCTATGAAGTAATAATATGTTGCTATCTCTGAAAAAAAATATTCCTACATGAATTCCAAATGTGTAGTTTAGTCAAACACTATAATAGACCATTTTAATCTACTTCTGCTCCACAGTTCAATGCAATATGGCTTCCAATTTTGTTTTTCTTTCAGTCTGCTTATTAAATTTCTCCTCCTTAAGTATCTTTCATAGGCAGCATAATGTTTACTCATAATTTCAGTGAAATCAGTGGGAGTTAATCCCCTGTAAATAGTAGACTTAAATCTTGGTGACAAGTGTCTGTATTATTAGCTACTATCCTTGCTGTGCGCTAACAGGAAAGAAAAACCAGCATTGAATATGAGGCAAATGTGGAGCTTTCCTTGCTAGTATACTAAATAATGTATTCACAGTTTCCAGAAAAATGTTTTGCATAGGGGTTCAGAAAGCAAGATAAGCCTTAGAAGACTGTGTTTGTGACTGAAATATCAGTTCAGCCACATGCCTGTCTTTACAGTCCTCCAAGCTGTAAATTGGCTAATATTTATTACTCAGTTAATATTGTCCGGTATGTTAAGTGCTTAAGGGAAAGCATATTAAAATGCTATTTATATGTATATGCACATATACATAATTCTGGTTCAATAAGGAGAAGCAGAAAAGAAGATATATCGCTGGCATTTGTGTGGAGGTTGTTGGCCAAGAAAACTAATTTGAAAAGAAACAGGAAGTTGCCTTAGACACTAAAGCTCCAGCTGTGACTGTTAGAAGCATATACAGTTTTGTGATGGTTTCTAATATACACTAGACTCTCTGCTGGCTTTCCAGCCTGTCTATCACTATATGTGTTGAAACTTTAACTCCCAGGATTCCCAAGGCAGCATGGTTTGCAGCACAAATGGAGAGAGACAGATTGGGGAAAACTCCTTTATGTATTCTCATTCCCCCCCCCATAAATTCTTTGTTTAAAAGCTGCATTTCCACAGTTTCACAGGTTGTATCATATTTCCACATATGTGCCTAAATAGATCAGATTACAGGTAGTAGTTGCTTAACAACGGTAATTGGGACCAGCAACTCCATCGCTAAGTGATGCAGTCATAAAGCGCGAAGTCACATGACCGTGCCAACTTACAACGGTTGTGTCGTTAAGCAAATCCTGTGTAGTTAAGTGCAATGTCACATGACCATGACTTAAAACCTCCTGCTGGCTTCCCCATTGACTTTGCTTGTCGGAAGGCAGCAGTGAAAGTCGCAAATGGCAATCACATGACCATGGGATGCTGCAACTGTCGTAATTACGAGCCAGTTCCAAGTGCCTGAGTTGCAATCACATGACCACGGGGACTCTACAACAGCCACAACTTCAAGGACCCATTCTAAGTCTCCTCATTCAGCACCATCATCACTTCAAATGGTCGCTGAACAAGTGATTGTTAACTAAGGACTACCTATATTTGTATTTCTTTGTATATAATAAACTCCAAACCATAACATGTTAAGTACATTCTTTGGATAGAATGGCATACTAGTTCCTACAAGATGATAGATTTACTTCTTTGAATATCACTTTGAATGAGTTCTAGCCTAGCTTTCTTCTTGGATCTTCTAGTTTGGGACAGTAACTTGTTTTAACTTATTGGTATACAGTATGTTCAGTCATGTAAGGCCATACTTCTAATCTGAAGTACTATATCTCATTTACAGTTTTGAAAAGAAATGTGCATTAAAATCCCCTTCTGTCCTAACACATATACTAAGATATAATAGAGCCCCAGATTACTTTGATTGCATTGTGAAGTCATTCATAAGGGAAGTTACAAAATATTCATAAGTCCCCAAAGAGCTCTGATATATGAACACATGGTAAAATAATTGTCCAAGTTACTTCTTTAAACTTGTAGTTTGAGGGTTTGGTCACAAGGTGTCACCAATATACCAAGAAAATATCTAATTCAGTGTTCCTCAACCTTAGCAACTTTAAAAAGTGCAGGCTTCAACTCCCAGAATTTCCCAGCCAGCATGCTGGCTGGGGAATTCTGGGAGTTGAAGTCCACACATCTTGTTGTCAAGTTGTCGAGGTTGCAAACCACTGATCTAATTAAATGGTCACTGTATATTTTGCAAAACAAAAACAATTTTTTTCTTTCATAATTGCTTGGTAAGACTTTAAGAGAAAAGCCTTTGTGTTTTCAGCATATTTCAAGGTTTTGGTAAATATCATTTTATTAATAAGCTAGGCAGTGGATTCTGTCTATGGTAGACTTTTCAGTAGATATAGGCAATATCTGAGAACAGTAATGAACTAGGCCCATATGGTATCAATATATAGTTTAACTAATGTTTAAGTTATTCAAGAACCAACTTTTTGAAAAGAATCTAGTAACTACAGTTATTTACAAAATATTGATGAGAGAAGGGCATTGCTTTCCCATTTTTTCTTACTGATGGGCTGTATTTTAAATGTTAGTTGCCTTCACTTTCCTTATCCTACAACATTTGTTACAAGGTTTACTTAATGTATTTGGTAAATCTTATTGTAGAAGGTTTCATATTTTACCAAGAATAACCACTTATATATTAATCTGACATGGACAGACTGTACTGCTTAGGAACTTCTTGGTGTGCAAAGAAAATGTCATCTTATGACATTAAAAAATGTGTGTTGCCTCATTCACTGGAATATTTTTGAGGTTGTTTATGCTTCTAGAGGGTGTTTATATGATCCAGAGATGCTGAGTACATCATTGTGAAGTGGATCACTAACTCCTCTTCCTCTGTATCAGAAATGACGGTATTATATTTTTGTGTGATGTTATCAACAAAATATCTGCTAAATGTTTAGAGCTTTTTTGTTTGTTTTTTTCAGGTGAGACATGGAATCCATTAAAATTGCATTACCAGTTAAGAAATGTCCGTGAACGGTTAGCCAAAAACCTAGTCGAAAAGGGGGTTTTGACTACGGAGAAACAGAACTTTCTCCTCTTTGACATGACCACACATCCCCTCACCAACAACAACATTAAGCAGCGCCTCATCAAGAAAGTTCAAGAAGCTGTGCTTGACCGATGGGTGAATGACCCCCACCGCATGGACAAGCGCTTGCTGGCTCTCATTTACTTAGCCCACGCATCAGACGTCCTTGAGAACGCTTTTGCCCCCCTTTTGGATGAGCAGTATGATCTTGCCACAAAGAGGGTGCGGCAACTCCTGGATTTAGATCCTGAAGTTGAATGTATGAAGGCCAACACAAATGAGGTTCTGTGGGCTGTAGTAGCAGCCTTCACAAAATAACTACAATCAGACTGCTCAAACGTTCTTTTTCTCATTTCATGTAAATCAGTTAATCTTCTCTTGATGATTCATGTTTTCTGTCATCAGTACCTCCCCTTATGTGATGAAAATCAACTCCTGATCATAAGAATGGTAGGTAATGTGTTCTGAGTCCCCATTCCCCACTGCTACCCCGTGTGTGTGTGTGTGTGTGTGTGTCTACTACAGGATTCTGCTGGTACAAGAAAGCTGCTTCCTGTTCTTAAACTGGTTGGCTGTCATATTGTCATTCTGTTGTATATCCAGTTTAAGTTACTTTAGATTTCTACTGTGTACTTCCTTTTCTTCCTCTGGAATGTGGTTATACAAAAAAATGCCTCCCAGGAGAGAAGCAAGCACCTAATTTCCAATGGATTTAGCTCTATAATCTGCCTCAGCAGCAGGGCATTTTGGACTAAAGTCACAGAAGCATCCTGACATCGCAGAGTTAGTTATATTGAAGTCTTGAGAAAGTGGTTTTACAGGTATTGTTACATCATTGAGGCTTTTGTGGGAAACTTATATAGAACCAAACCAGCTGAAATGGAGCTGAGATAAGCATAAAAGCAATATTTGGTGAAATATATTTTCGTTCTTTATTGAAGTTTGGATGCGTTCAAATAATTCTAAAACCTTGAATATCCCAAGATGGGCTCAGTAACTTTTGCATGTTGCTGCCCATGCGAAACTATATTGATTTTATGCTGTATTTTTCCCTGCAAAATATCACTGCAAAATCTAAGACTAGTACAGAAAGGTCCAGTTGTTTCACAAAGCGGTTTTGTGATGGGATACATTCCAGTGTAGTCTGTACATAGTAAGAATTGTATATTAACACACGAGCACATCAAATAATTTCAGTAAGATTCCAAAAGTGAATGGATGGTACACCTGGCGTTCTGTTATTTGCTTTCAACTGCTGCCTTCCCCCACCCCCTTGTTTTGGGAAGCTGGGCCTCCTATAAGTGAGTGAGTGAACGTGTGTGATACCTTTCTGACGTGCCTGGGCTTTGTGCCATCCAGGTACAATCTGCCTATGCATTGCCTTGATAGTATTTGTAGTAGGATGAAACTACTTTATTATAATTTTTTAAATCTTACTTTCAGAAGAGGCTTGTGACCAGTAAAATTCTTTGTGCAGTTTTCAGTTTTAGTTTATTCACAATCTAATACTGTGTCTCATGTCATTAATCTACTTAACACTTCAAAAAAAAATCAGCTGTCAATCTTAGCAAGTGTTGCATGTAAATTGTTAGCAGGTGAATACTACAGTAAAACCAATTAAGACTTCTGTAGTAGGACACTCTACTATGTTTTAATTTTTATATACAATTATGCTGATTAGCACATTATTGTAAAATATATAAACTGGCTTTTTAAAGTTTATTACCTCTTTACTGTTGCTTGTCCTTGCTTCACAATGTAAATATTATGCATTGAACAAATTAAAAAAATGGTTTCCCCCCCCTTTTCGGTTCAAATAACAGAACAGAGTAATAGTGGGGCAGGTATCTAGAAACCTTTCTTTAACACTGAAAACAGAGAATACTAAATGACGTATATAACTGTAGTTGAAAGTAAAGGGGATTCCCAATCTGTATACTAGCTTTTTACCTACAGTAAATAAACCTATGATCTTGAAAGTGCCTGAAACAGAGCAAGCATATAATTTTGTATTTTGTGTTCTTAATTCTGATCATACAGTAATCTGTCCTTTGTACAGTTGAGAACTAAGTAATCCTTTTTGGTTTGGGGATTTTTTGCAAGGGATGAAACCTGTGTCTGCTTAGATCAGTTTCTTCTAACTATCCAGCTTGATGATAAATAGAAACATTTTTATGATCTGAGATTTTCTCTTATTTGGCAATAAGAAGTAATCTAGGCTTTCCTGGAGTGATTCATTAATTGGAGCAAAAGATGGGATCTCTTCCTTCCATAAATATTACACCACAAGAAGCTGACAATTATGGACTGTGCTCTAGGATTGAGTTCCTAGCACCTAAAAGAGAGGGATTAGAATCTAATACTGTGTGAAATGTTTTAATTCATACTACAGTTTTGAGACATAATTACATGTGTCACAGATTTGAGTTCAACTTCTTTGTATATACATAGTCATGTAAACTGAATGAATTACATTTGATAATTACTCAGCTTTGCAAAATGTTATGTGGCCATTTTAGCTGATCAAAACTAAAAGTTATGAAGTGGTTCAGAACTTCTTCAGCATCACTTTTCTAGAAAGTTCATCCAAGAAGGACAAGAGTAACTTAACTAAGCCAGTGCAGACAGTAACCCTCATGGATAGCAATGGCCAGTGATCTCACAGCTGTAGACAGATCCAGTAAAACTGTGGGATTACACTCCCATCATCAGTTCCAGTGAATGTCATATAGGTTAAATTGGTATTGGAATGGATTAAAAAAGTTTTCACCAAAGCCACCTAGAGATGAGAAACCATCATTTGCAGTAACTTACTCCAATAGGAAGGATTCAAGAATGAGTAGTTCAGATTCCTAGAATCCTTTAGCAAAAGTTGCTTCCCTTAGGCTAAGGGGAACTACACCCTCTCCTAGGAAAGCATTTGTGATGAGCAAAGGGTAGTGAACATATAGTTTTAAATGTTTAAGCTTGTCCTCTGTCTCCAACTACACAAGCTGAAAACTTTGGTGGGAATATAAATAATTTTGCATAAAAATGGGAAGCAACTTGTTCACAGTGAGCATTCAGGAAATACACCACCTTTGCCTTCCTTTTGTTACCCAAAATAGCTCTAATGGTTGGTTTTGTGCAGCTCTAATTGTAGTGTTAAAGTAACATTTCTTTATGTCCACGGCCACCACAGAGTAAGTCCAAAGATGGATTCTCACCTGCATATAGTCATACCTCCAGCATTAATTATTAGAATTTATATAGTCCCCTTATATTTCACAGTTTTGTTTTAATTAAAAGTCCTAGTTAATTAGTGATACCTTCATAATGATATCAAAATATTTTTAAAAATTGCAAATACACCAGCTGACTAAATCTTAGTCCATTTGTGATAGCCTGAGATGATGTTAATTGGTGGCTGGTTGCTAGACTTTTGATAGCTGACTGCAAGTTCAAATGCCTGCTCAGACTTGTATCTAGCGAGTGGGTGGGCTGTGTGAATTGTTATCTTGTGAGTTTCACTCTAATAATGATCTAATCTTGGAGATTGCGTGACAATTGCTGAGATAGAGAACTCATCTCTTGTGCTAAGCCCTAAGCCTTATATATTTAATAGTGAATATTCAGGATTTCACACAAACACACACAAACCAAGACTATTCACTCAGTGAATAGATTAAGGCTTGGATACTCACCATAATGTAGGTCATTGAATAATATTACACATCATCTTTCCCAGGAGGCTAAAACTAAACTGAAAGTCTGTAGATGCAATAATGTCCTATTTTCCATAAGTAGTGAGTTGAAAGTGTGTTGCTTTTTGTTAGTTTGTTACCGTGTCATAGCTTCTATAATGGGGAAGAAACAAATATTGTGTAAAACAGAAGTTTGATGGAACTTCAAAGCATGTAGCTTTCCATTTGCTTAAGTGGAGCACTTTCTTGATCCTAGTCCTTCAACTGTCTTTGGTAATAATTCAAATAAATTGCAGAGGAATTTGGAATTCCTTGCACACAGGCCATTTGCTTTTCTGCTGAACTATATTGTAGCACAAATCTGAACTAATAAAGTGTGGACACTTACCCATCAGCAAAGAAGGATGCATATTTACATTAAAATGTTTTATAATATAGAAACATTAAATAATTACAATTTAAACTAGCCTTCCTCAACCAGGTTTCTTCCAGCTATACGTATGAGTATGCAAAAAGCTAATTTAAGTGCAATTCATAATGGTGAAAAAGACTAAGACCACTATCATTACACTGAATGTGCACAAGACTATCCCTTAACTAGAAGGGATGCCTTCAAATAGTTGTCCTCCATAAACTAGATAACTATTACATGTTTCCTCTGTTCATGGAGCATTGAGGCAGCAAGGAAGGGACAAGTACTGAAGGAGAAGAAAAAAAGTAAACCTGGAGCAGAAATGGAATATGGACTCTCTCAGGACTAGCTTACAGGAACAGGATGGTGGAAATGGATTAGATCAGAGTGCCAGCTAGAAGTAGCTGCTGGTGGGGAGAGCTGCTCCAATATATTAATACGTTTGTTTTTAGGAAATTGAGAGAGGAAAAGGGAGTGGTTGCACACAAGACCTAGACCTCCACTCTTTCCTGGATCCTTGGAGACCATGTGGTAGGGGCATCCCTCTTGTTTGCAGCCTCCAAGGGTGGTTGAGATGCTTGTCGGAGTCAAACTGGTGCTGTGTCCTGCGTGTTCTAAGCTACCTTTTCTACCTTGTTGCATCCTTGGCCCAAAATGGAACCAAGAAGAAAAGTCACTGCTGCTTCTGGAACCCAGAACTAAAGATTGAAAGGGAGGGATTTCTTCCACAGAACAGGAAGAAATCCTACCCCATCCTTTCTAACCAGAAAAGGTCAAGTTAACCCTTTCCGGTCACTCCATCTTCAATGACTGAGAAGGGCCAAACTTGGCAAACTCAGTTTTTTAAACAAGGAGTTTGGGTAATTCCCCCTAATTTAGTGAAGGGCTCATGTGAGCCTTGTTTGAATAATCTCCAATGCTCCCCAGCTGCTGTTATGATTGAATAGGTGGTTGTCTACCGCAGCATCTGCAGGGGAAGGTCAAAGCAAGCAAGACAGGCCAGAGTGTTGTGAATGAAGCTACATCCCTTTTCTATGTGGATCAGCATTACATATGGGTATAAAGGAGCAGAGCTTCAACTGTGGCACAGTGACTGCTGTCTTGTCTGTCTTGACTCCCCTGCAGATGACGTTGGCTGTATGTGTTCTGTGTTCAATATAAAATTTAATAAGAAATTCTACATTTTATGGAGATCCCAAGTTTCTCAGAAGAAAAAAGGAAGTACCGAGTCCTGACTGGAGTGGAAGAAAGCTTTTCAAAACTAAAACATTGGCAACACTTGGTATGAAAAGGCTTTGAAAAGGTTTCTTTCCAGATTTTTTTTTTTTAATCGGTTCAGTCATGTCTGATTCTTGGAGACTGCCTGGACAAGCCCCTGCAGTTTTCCTGGCAAGGTTTTTCGGAAGTCGTTTGCCCTTGCCTCCTTCCTAGGGCTGAGAGAGAGGGACTGGCCCAAGGTCACCCAGCTGGCTTCGTGCCTAAGGCAGGACTAGAACTCCCGGTCTCCCGGTTTCTAGTCTGGTGCCTTTAACCACTGCACCAAACTGGCTCTATTATCTTTCCAGATTAACAAGTATGAAACAATATACTTAGGATTTATTGCATTTTGATATTCAAAGGATATTGTAAGTGGGTCATAATCTACCCCGGTTAAGTGAAATAACATAGGAACAAACACTGCGGAAGCCCTGGAGGTTTTCTCTATGAAAATAGCATGAAAATAAACTTCTGACTACTACTATTTTATGTATTTGGGGAAAATAGTCTCAAAAAAGAACAGGCATATAAATTAGTTGCTGTAGTGTAATAGAGCAGGGGGCTGGCAGCAACCTTTTTTATGGCAAGAAATCTCACAGTATCATCCAAGCTGAGGATTCTAGATCAGTCTCTGAAGCCTCTTCTCTAATTTCACACAGGTTCAGCTTTCTCATATATGTTCTTATGTGAGAATGTGGACACCTTTTGAGATTTGGTGGTCTCGTGTGATTTCAGCCATATTTAAATTTACTTTTAAAAAAGCGTTCATTTGGACATTCCATGGATGCTAACTGGGGATATCATGGATGCCTTGATGCTACGGGCACTGTTTTGCTGATCCCAGGATTAGAAAGATGGACCGATGGAGAGAGTTCACATCCTAGTGTTTTATGACCTCTTCAATCACTCATGGACTCAAGCTACATCACAGATGGAGTGTTAAAATCTGATCACCTCCTAGACAGGATAACAGTACTACCAAAGTTCTCAAGGACAATTTCAGTCCCTCAATATGCATTGACAACAAACTCCTGGATGAGTACACGATATCTTTCAAATAGAGCTTTAACAGGAAATTAGGTATTGCTTTCTTTACTCTGGAAAAAATGCAGAATCAGAACATCCTGAACATTACTTAGAACTGACAGATAGTAAGTATATCTGCAAACTATTGAGTAGCTGAGGAAGTAATAAAAATAAACATAAAAAGCCATTGTATCAAACTTTTCCTGTGTTTGGATGTATCAGATGGAAGAGCAGAAGGAGGTGTTTTAAACACCATTTCTTTTCTCACTGTTTTTTGATTGTCATTCATTTTTCCATTCTCATGTGTGGCTTTATCATGTCCCACTTTATAAAGTAGACCAGAGTTTCTTTCCTTAGTGTTTTGATGCTATCGTAAAACAATGATCTGTGAATGATTTGTTATGGGAGTCTGTACTTAGGAAATCAAATGTGGTTTTGTGTAACATGGAAATGCCCATGCCTTTTGGGTTTACTCTTTAATAATATCAGAAATCTTATCCTGAATCTTCTTCCTGAAGTATAAAATAGATGAAAAAAATGTAGTTAGAGCCTTGGGTGCTTCCTCTTCCAGCTTCCCGTTCAATGGATGATTTTTAACACAGAATGCAAAACTATTTTTCTGGGCTC